CCCCAAGAGCAGATCGCAGTGCCCCCCTCACTGCCCCAAGAGCAGATCGCAGTGGAGGCCCTGGCTGGAACGGGGCAGCCCCCCCGGCACACCTACCTATGTAGTTCATGATAAATCCCTGCCCCTTCCCGAAGATGAGGCCCGCGGGGTCAGAGTGGAACTGGATGGTGAGGTCGGGGGTGGAGGAGTAGAGCTTCTGGGGGCCACTGCTGCCAACGTACTGCCCCAGGATCCGGGCCGTGAGCTCGTCCCCGTCGTAAATGGTCAGGATGTCGCTGTTGCTCAGGTTCAGGCTGGGAAGGGAAGCACAGAGAGGAGCCTGGTCAGACCGGGTGCACAAGGGGAATCCAGCCGGCACGTTACTGAGTCAGACCCAGGGGACGTGGGTACTGGACCCCGCCAGTTCCAGGCCACGACACCACCAAACATGTCCGTGAGGCCCGGAGCAACCCCCCAGTAGACTCCCCTCACTTCTTCCATGCCCAGGACTTGGGTATGGAAGCGAAGTGTGTGGACCCAATGTTCTGACGAGCGCCCGGAGAAATCTCTGCTCCTGGACGGCTCAGCAGGTCCCTGTGCAGGCTGTTCCCTGTCTGCGATCGTTTGAATTAACACAGGGGCCGATCCGGCGCCAGTGAGCAAGGCGTGGGACAGGGAGGGTTGCAGAGCTGCGGTGGACCTGAAAGCCTGCGGCCTACGCCCGTGGCTGCACGGTGCACGGACGGCACGAGGGGGCTGATCTCTGACTGGACGAAGCACAGAACACGTCTGCCTCTTCGGGCTTTTTCACAGTGGTGCCGTGAGCAACCGTCACCCCCTTTCACCCGCTGCCGGCGTTGGCTGCCTTCTGATGGCACGGCTGGATTTCCCACAGCTTAATTGAACTGAATTCTTTGTTCCTTTCGTACGGCAGAAAGTTCAGTGCTATGGGACATGGAGATGAGATGACTGGCTCCTGCTCTGAAGGGGAATTTAAGTTATCGTGTCAAAACATCCCACACCGCCGACGTTCCCGCTGGAACCGAAGCCTCAGGCGGCTCTGGGAGCAGCAGGAAGCCGGGGCCGGAACGAGGTGGGCAATAGGCAGGGTTACTTCCTAGCTAGCAGTGGCTTGCTACAGGCCTCCATCAGGGCCTTCTCTTGCCCTGCTGCTGGGTCAGTGTGTGCCTAGCTCTCGCCCTCCTCCTGGGGCATTGCCTCCCTCTGTCACCGCTGCCTCCCTCCCTTCCCACAGCCGGCATCTGCTCCACCCCCACCTCTGACCACGCGGCGTGTCCAGTTTTCCAGTGAGGAGCAGGAGGATCGCTAGGAGGAGGTCGCTCTAACGAGTCCTTGGGGCGGGGCGGATCTGACAGGCTGGTGCTGGCCTGGCCCTGGAACCAAGTGGCAGCGATGCCCCGGGATCACAGCCTGAGCGGATGTAAATCGGTGCAGCTCCACTGAATTCAGGGGCAATTTAAATCTGGCCCAGAAAGCGTGGAGCAGGCATGGCCACCTGGAAAGCTGCGCCGAGACCACTGCACGCATCGCTGGGCAAACAGGAAGGGGACTTTCAAAATTCCCAAGGACTTTAAGGGGTGGGGCTCACGGTTGGTCACCCGAGGGCAGGGCAGTAGAGTTCAAACGATGACCAGAGAGGCGAGAACAGGCATTGTGGGACACCTCCCGGAGGCCAATCGCAGCACTGTAATCGACCAGGGTGTCTCCACTGGCACCTGTAGCCCCAGCACAGAAAGCTCTATGCCTCTCGTCGGGGTGGTTTTTTTTACCGTGCTGCAACTGTGGAGTTTCTGCACACTAAGTGGCTTGGCAGTGTGTAACC